TTTACAATAATGGAGTCTTTCATTCAGCAGAAGTTTATGGGAATGCCTATTATATGCCAAGCAAGCGATACTTAAATGGAATTTGTATTCCAGAGTTGTTTAGATTTTAAGGATTTTAATTCATAGTTGTGTAACTTAGTTATTGCGGTGCAACTCCAGCAGATTACTTTGGGACAGGAGAAAAAAGGGCAGGCGCTTGAGAAAAGGCCTTATTTTTCTGGCAAAATTAATCAATTTAGGTAAGAACTACAATAATCCTCCCTTATCCATGGGGGGGATATGTTCCAAGACAATGGATGCCTGAAAGTACTGAACCCTATATATACTATGTTTTTTCCTATATGTACATACCTATGATAAAGTTTAATTTTGAAATTTGTCACAGCAAGAGAGTAACAACAATAACAAAATAGAACAATTATAACAATATACTGTAATAAAAGTTCTGTGAATGCGGTCTCTCAGAATATCTTGTACTATACTGACCTTTTTATATGAAGTACTTTACGGCTTCTCTTTGGCACATATCCAGATTGTCAGCATCATACTCTTGCACTTTGGGGATATTATTAAGTAAAATAACGTTACTTGAACACAAGCACTGTGATACAGTCAATCTGATAACCTAGACATAGATATGCTGGATGGACAAAGGGATGATGCACCTCCTGGGCGGGATAGAGCAGGATTGTGTGAGGTTTCATCACGCTACTCAGAATGGTGCACAATTTAAAACTTATAAATTGCTTATTTCTGGAATTTTCCATTTAATATTTTCAGAGGGGGGGTAACCCGCGGAAAGGCAAACTGCAGATGGAGGGGGGAACTGCTGTAATCAGTTTTTTAAATAGCAGTAGCTTTCTCTCGTAACATACAAAGTAGTAAAATTTTCTTTGCATGCCACCATGCTTTATTATACTGCCACTACTTACAGAAAACAGCTTTGTTTTGGCAAGCTTTCATGGGACAGATTTAGGATTAAATGTAACAAAACAATAGCATTGTCTTTAGGAAGAGGTCTTACTAGCAAATACGTTTTAAAATTTTGTTTTTGTTCTTAATACTGAAGAGGTACGCCAAACTGGAAATATAATCCCTATCTCTTGAGCCCTGGTCATTACATACCACACCTTGATAATTCTAGTTGGTCTGTTATGAGACTGATTAGGTGTTGGAGAGCCTTGAGCAAGCAGCCAGGACATCCAGATTTGGGTCCTCATTGTGCCCATCGATAAGCATAGATGTTTATAAGAAGGATTCTGGTTTGTGTCAGGTGACTAGATAAGTTGCCTGCCAAGAGGCATTTATGAATCTTGGTGAGTTCACTATACGTTCAAGGTTGAGACCTGAGCTTTGGACTCATATAACTGAATTTGGAAGCACCAAGAGAATGATCCCATTATCTCAGGAACAGACTCTAATTAAGTTCTTAAGAGATTGATGGTTAGATCAGAAAGCCAGTTATTTTTAGTGAGAAATATACTTGAATAGGTTAGGATAGCCTATCTTAGTACATTCCCTATTTGGAGGGGGTGGTGCCAAATGGGAGAATCTAGACTAATTTGATAGGAATGAAATTAGAGCTGGGGAAATTTTATTTGATTGCCACTGTATTCCAATAAAGATATAAGATACAAGGGCACTTACAAGGGAGGTACCCAAATGTTGTAGGATTACTCATGTATCCGATTTGCATTGGTGTTAAACTTAGACTCGAGTGCTCAAGTGTTGGACGTCATACCCTCTTTTAGGGATGGGATCTGCCAACGTTGGCCTCAGTCTTGTGACTTGGTCTTTGTGGGTACATGCTCTTTCCTGTACTTACTGTGTCCCTGCAGTTACACTCTTTGGGTTAGCAGTTCCCAGCATGAGAAGGATAAAGGCCCCATGCATTACATTTTCTAGGTTAAAGCACAGATTTGGTTACAGGCGGTTTTTGGGTTTATAAAATGATGCCACTCGTTTGTGTCCTTTGTAAGAAAGATTATGCGAGTGGTATCTTTATTGTGAACGAAAGTCGAATTCTATTGAAATATAAACAAAATGTTATAACATTTTTTAAAAAGATTACAAATCAAATGTAATTGGGTGAATTCTTAAAAGATTCTTTCTAGTCACCACTTTTCATACCCCCCAAGAAGAGCCACTGTCTTGATTTATAGCACCACAGATTTTGCCTGTTTATGTATTTTATATGAAATTTAAATTTCATATAAATGGACTCATATGAAATTCTTAATCTAACCATTATATTTTTGTGAGATTTATTTATATGTTCCATGTAGCTGTTTATTCTTTGACCATTTCTATATATTATATGAACCTATCTGTATATTCCTATTTGTCCTAGTTTTTCTAGTTTGGAGCTATTGTGAATAATGGTACCGTGATAATTTTTGTGTGATTCAGTTGTTTGTACACTGTTATTTTACTTCTTGGTAATGAATTAGATTATCTTGGCCATGTGAGTTGTCTTTGTAAATATTTTATTGTGTTTAGAGATTTTACTTCCTTTTTAAGTCCTTGTGGGGCTTTTCACTGTAGGTAGTTGCATAATTTGGGGCAAGAGACTCAACATAGTCATCCTGGATTCCTCTTTGGTAAATTTAAAGATTTACTAGTTTAGACAGTCGTTCAGTCATTTTCCAGATTTCCAATTCTATATTTTTCTTTAATTTTTATTCATTTCAGCATCTCAATTGGAAAATTTCCTTCAGCAATTAAACCTTTTGTTTTGCTTACTCTAGGTGAGATTCAATGTACTACAGTATGTTGTTCCAGAAGTGAAAGACCTTTACAATTGGCTGGAAGTCGAATTTAATCCTCTAAAGCTCTGTGAAAGAGTCACAAAGGTAAGCCTTTGTACTTGAGTTTTGGTTATATCACCGTATAGTTTAACCTGTTGCAGTTTCAGGTTGTAATAAGAGAGAAGTTTTGTCCTGTGCCTTTGAATTCAGTGCACATTTCATTGTCTTTTTTCTTTATGTCAAGAGAAAAGATATTTCTGATGTGCTAAACAAATCTTTGGAGGTAAATTAGCAGCATGACTAATGTAGCCATTGCTGTCAGTCACTTTCAGACAAACATTAGTAGCTTCATGTCACATTTTGTAGTTCTTTGTATTGTATTGTATTTCTTAATTTGTATATTAAGAAAATTGAAAAAGTTTTGCAGATGTTTTAGTATCTGTTACATAGAAAGCATGATTCTTTTTAATGGATTTTATAGGTTCTGAATTGGGTTAGGGACCAACCTGAAAAGGAACCAGAGTTGCAACAGTATGTCCCACAGCTGCAAAACAACACCATACTCCGTCTGCTGCAGCAGGTAAAAATTGAAAAATGGATGTTTTATGTAAGAACTGGAATTTCTCCCCTTGATTGTTTTGATTGCAAAGCTGAAAGNTGGGATTGGATAATGGGGTCTGCCTTTAGGATGTTAAGCAGCATCCCTAGTCTCGACCCACTGCATTGTAGCAGCAGTCCCTCCCGTATGTGATTACCAAAAATGTCTCCACATGTTGTTCTTGGGTGGTATTCTTGGTCTTCAGTAGCTGTCTTTTATCTAGTAACGAACTCTACCAAAAGCCCAATTGAGAAAATGGTAAGTTAGGAAAGACAATGTTAAGATACAAGCTTTCTATCCACATACAGGTGTTCAGAATCTATTCTTAGAACAAATTAGACATTTAAATACTATCAGGTAGTCACTTTTTCCTGATTATAAAATATTAACTATGTAGATTATTTGGGGTACATATATAGGTGAATATTAAAAACGGGTCTATAACCTAACAATCTAGACCTAACAATCCCTGATTCTTGGGCTGCAGAGCACACACTCCTTGGTGTCCAGCGGTGCTCTGAATTCAACCTGCCTTTCCTCTTGTGTTTAATTAAGAAGTTAAAATTTAGCTAGTGCTCCCCCCTCATGTGTTCACTTATGGTCCTTGTAATTTTTCTCCCTTCTTGTCATTTTTTTCCTTAGTTCTTAAAGCTGCCTTAATTGTTTTTGTAAGGAAGTATGGGGTATACAAATATGTCTGTCTTGCAGTTTACCCAGTCTTTTTCTATAGCTAGAAAACAGGGACAGCAGTAAGTGGGTGGATGAAGTTCTGCTTCTCCAGGTATTCATTTTACCGTGGTCCATTTCTTTTTATAATTAACCTCATGTTTTAATGAATAATATTTATGGGTATCTTTAACCACAGTGGTGTACATGTTCTGTCACTGGCATATCTATTGTGCCAGATGATTAAAGAGGAATGTGTTTCTGCTTATGAAGTAACACTTAACACATTTCACACATTGTTACTTTGCTCCCCAGAATGTCTACTCGGGTCCTTCTGGCTACTCTCTCCATCCCTATCACCCCTGAGCGCACTGATATTGCTCGACTTCTGGATATGGACGGCATTATAGTGGAAAAACAACGGCGCCTTGCAACACTGCTAGGTCTTCAAGCCCCGCCAACAAGAATTGGCCTCATTAATGATATGGTTGGTATAAGTTGGAGCATTCTTACATCTTTGAACAGAAAACTTTATGGTCAGGTTTTGTAATTCATGATTAAGTACTGGGAATTCTGATTCGTTGCCAAGGGATTCTGATGCATGGTTCAGTTTGAGAACCTCTGGTTTTTTTTTTAGCTCAGCCATCCTGCCACCTGTTGGCAGAGAACCTCTGTTTTAAGCCAGCACTGTGTTCAGTTGAGGTCATTTGTGTCTAGTGGGAGAGCCAGGGTGAAACTCGATGTAGCAGATGAGACTGGACTAGCTCTGAGTAGTGGTATGGACTACTCAGAGAAGAATAGTGACGGGCAAGGAGGCTCACGCATGGCTTATTTCAGGGCTGGTGGAAAACTAATCAAGGTGACAGTTGCTGGAAATATGAGGCTAAGAAAGAATGTGAAGTAGATAAGGCCTGATTCTAGAGACAACTAAAATATTTCCAACTTTTTTCTCTTTTTTTTTTTTAGATTTTCTTTTTTTATTGGGGAATTGGGGGAAGGGAACAGCACTGGGGAATTAGGGAAAG